TCCAGATGGAGCGCCTGGGTGGCTCAGTCAGTTGAGCATCCAATTCTTGATTATGATCTCATGGTTCCTGAGTTTGAGCCCCATGTCAGGCTTTGCACTGCGAGTATGGAACCTGCTTGGGATTTTCTTTCCCGTTCTCTTTCTCTCTCTCATTCTCCCCCCCCCCCCCGCTCCCCATAAACAAATAAACTTAAAAATTAATTCTAGATAGATTAAAGGCATAAATGTGAAAAATAAAGTTTTAATGCTGTTGTGATTTAAATAGTTTCCCCCAGAAAAATATTTGAGTTCAAGCCCTATCCCCTGGCACCTATGAATGTGGCCTTTTTGAAAAAAGGATCTTTGCAGAGGCAGTCAAACCGAGGTCACCCTGGAGTAGAGTGGGCCCTAAATCCAATATGACTGATGCCCTTATAAGAGGAAGAGAAGTGACAGAGACCCACAAGGAGAACCCCATGTGATGACAGACACAGAAATCGGAATGATAAACCTATAAACCACGGAAGGCCAGGGACTGTTGCCAACTGGGAAGATGCAGAGAAAGATCTGCTCCTGGAGCCTTCAGAGAACACGCTCCTACCAGCACCCGATTTCAGACTTCTACCTTTTTCTTGTTTTATGCTGTTTAACTTTGTGGTAATTTGTTGTAGCAGCTTTAGGTAATGGGTACTAATGCTTTTAGAAGAAAATACAGTTAAAAGAATTAGAGAAAGATTTCTTTTTTTTTTTAATGTTTTATTTCTAGGAAAGAGAGAGACAGCGTGAGCAGGGGAGGGTCAGAGAGAGAGGGAGTCCCAGACTGAAACAGGCTCCAGGCTCTGAGCTGGCAGTCAGAGAAAGATTTCTTAAAATAATTCGTAAAAGCAGAAACCACGACAGAAAATTTGCCTTAAAATATAGAGCTTCTGCATCTCAAAGAAACAAAATGAAAAGGCAAGCCAGACACACAGAGAAAGATATTGACAGCACGTGTAACCTACAGAGGAGTAGTAACTGGAGTTTATAAAGGATGTTCTTACTCTCAGTAAGAAAAAGATAACTTCATATAAACTCAAAAGCAAAGTGATAAAAATGAGCGAAGGTTACGAACAGGCAATTCAAAGAAGGAAACAGTAGATGATCAGTAATCTCAAAATTAGCAGTAATCATGGGAAGACAAATTAAAGCTAGAATTAATTATGATGTCACACCCAACAGACTGTGGGGAGGGGAAGCGAGAATATCAAGTGTTGATAAGAATGTGAGACAACAAGGAATCCTTCTGCACTGCCTGTGGGAAGATAAATCACTATGACCACTTGGAGGACCTTTTTAAAAAATTTTTTTAATGTTTATTTTTGAGAGGGAGAGAGACAGAGAGCATGGGAGGGGCAGAGAGTGAGGCAGGCTCTGAAGCAGGCTCTAGGCTCTGAGCTGTCAGCACAGACCCTGATGCAGGGCTGGAACTCACAAACTGTGAGATCATGATCTGAGCTGAAGTCGGACACTCAATCGACTGAGCCACCCAGGTGCCCCAGGGAGGACCTTTGATCATTTACATATTAAAGGTGTGTACAATCTATGACTGAACAATTTCATTCCTAGATGGTGTAGGAGAGGAAATGTTTAAGAATGTTTATAGCAACACTGGTTATGATTATGGAAAACTGGAACCAATCCAAATGTCTATCAGCCAGATAATGGCTAAATGTTGAAAACTCATGATGCAATGTTTTATTGTGATAAAATATACATAAGATTCACTACATTAACTATTTTAAATGTATATTTCAGTGTATTAAGTACATTCACATTGGTGAGGTATGTTCACAAACACATGATTCCATTTATTTTATTTTTTAATTATTTTTAATCAAAGTATAGTTGGCATACAATATCATATTAGTTTCAGGTGTACAATATAGTGATTCAACATCTATATACAATTACAAAATGCTCACCACAACTAAGTTTCTATCTGTTACCATCCAAAGTCATTACTATTTTATTGCCTATACTCCTGTGCTAAGTGTATTCACACTGTTCTATAGCCATGACCACCATCCATCTCCAGAACTTTGTCATCACACTGTACTGAAACCCTGTACCCATTAAACAGTAGCTCTCTGTTACCGCAACCTCCGGCCCCTTGTAACCACTACTGTACATGCTGTCTCTTTGAATTTGACCATTCCAGGTACCTCATGTAAGTGGAGTTATACAATATTTGGTTTTGTGTATGTGGCTATTTCATGTAACATAATGTTTTCCAGGTTCATACATGTGGTAGCATGTGTCAGAATTTCTGTCCTTTTAAAGACTGAATAATACTCTGTTGTATGCATATACTGCATTTTGTTTATCCACTCACTATTGATGGATATTTGGCTACTGTGAATGATGCTGTTATGAGCGTTATTGTACAAATGCCTGTTCAGTTCCCTGCTGTTGGGATATACTTAAAAGTGAAATTGCACCATAGGGCAGTTATATTTTTATTTTTTCAAGAATCACAATGCTGTTTTGCACAGAGGCCATGCTATTTTACATTCCTCTCATAATAATGCAATTCTATATAGTAATTGAAGTTGAATGATGAGAATTAACTATATAGCATGAAATCTTCTAAACACGCCATTCCCTCTTAGAACATTTTCTCTTCCCACTCAGTGCTCCACCTGGATAAATCCTACTCCTCTTCTAAGTTTTGGCATAAGCTGTATCCTAGAAAGTCTTTGCAGCACATTTCCCCTCCCTCTTCCCAGGCCCTTGTGGGGTCTCCCTCCTCAGCTCTACCTCTCTTTGTAATGTTGTATTGTAACTGCCCATTGGTATGTCTCTTACCAATAGACTGAAGCTTCTTGAAAGCAGACCTGTGTCTGTCTTGTTCATTGTTGAATCCTCCGTGTTGGCTTAGAATAGGTGTTTAAATAGTACTGTTAAATCAATCAGTGAATTTTAAGGCTATGACAAAGTGACAGAAAGCATTTATAGCCCTGAGAACACTTGAGTCTTTCCGTGTCCCCCACCGCAACTATTGTTAGAGGCTGTTAGAAAGGGAAACAGTATTCCCCCTTTCGGAGCATCCGAAAATCTTGGAGCCAGAACTTCTGTGACTCATTGTATCTGACCTCCCAACAAGTGCAGTCTCCACCAGGGCCTCCCTGAGGGCTAGGTTTCCAGCCTGGTCTGGGAACTTCTAAAGATTATCACTACACGGTATGCTTTCAGTAGCATGTTACAGAGACTCCCAACTAAGAGTGACAAACGAATGGAGGTTTATTGTCCTCAAATACCAAGAAACCCCAAGGTAGGTGATGCTGACTCTGGTTCAGTTGTCTGTGATATGTTTGGGGCCCAGGCTTCCCCCCACCACACACACACACATGTTAACTTTTCATCCTTGCACAATTGTTGCCTCATGATTGTGAAGTGGCTCCCATGCCTCTGGGCATCACACGCGGTCGAGGACAGAAGTAGGAAAGGGGGAGCTCCAGCAAGCTCTCTTCTTCTGCCTGGCCCTTTTATTTATTTGCTTGTAAATGTTTATTTATTTGTGTGTGTGAGAGAGAGAGACAGACAGACAGACAGAGTTAGAGACAGAGACAGAGAGACAGAGAGAAACAGAGGGAGAGAGACAGAGAGAGAGCGCACGTGCAAGAGTGGAGGAGGGGCAGATAGCGGGGAAGACAGAGAATCCGAAACAGGCTCCACACTGTCAGAGCAGAGCCCAACTAGGGGCTTAAACTCATGAGCCATGAGATCCTGATCTGAGCCGAAGTCGGACACTTAACTGACTGGGCCATCCAGGTGCTCCATGCCCGTCCCTTTTAAGAGAAAGCTAAACTCCAGAGTTCTCTAGAATATTTATTTCCATCTATGTTTTACTGGCCAGAACTCTATCACTGATCACCAAGTGCAGGGAGGTTTGGAAAGTAAGATTTAATCTTTCCCGTCTCCATAGTGGAAGGTGACAGGTGCCGTCAGGCATAATTCCTGAGTCTGTCTTAGGTGCTCACAGACTCTTAAAGCAGACCCTGTGCCGCTTGCAGGGGTACAACAGAAACCCGCTTGGGCCAAGGATAGAATTGGCCCCAGAACTGCAGTTGGGCACTTCCAGAGTGGTCAATAGAGTCACCTTACTTTTCATATTTTCCTGTAGTAAATAGTCCCTCCGAGTCTCTCTCCCTCAGCCTTCTTCTGGTCCATCACCATTCCAGCAGCAATGTGGTGTAGATGACTTATACCAGCTCTGGAGACACAGAGCTGCCCAGCCGATTTTCCTGACTAAAGGGACCTCCCCAGGGGCATCTCTGAATACCTCCACTATATTTTGGTTGAAAGAACACTGGATAGGAGCCAGGAGACTCACCCCAGCTCCACAATTGCTGAGCTGTGTCAACTTGTGTTTCTTGCCTTCTCTGGGCCTCAGTATTCTTATCTATAAAAAGGGGGGAGTAGAGGGAGAAATGATTCAGATCAGAAGATTGCCAAAGTCCCTGACAGCAATATCATTCTGGTTTCTCTGATTCTGCTTCTTCTGCTGGTCTGGAAGTCCCAGGAGATGGGAAAAATATATGTATATTTTTGGTCTGCATTACCTCTGATTGGACAAGCTATTCCAAACAGCTGGGACACCTGTACCACTGTCTTGGTGCCCCCCGCCCCGCCTTTTGCCCGTGGCTGCCCGGCTGTGAGCTGGCACCTCCCCAGGGGCACAGATAACAAATGAGCTTCCTGGGATGAGTGAATATTAAAAGCCCTGGCCTTGGTCCTTGAAATGCTCTTGTCTCTGCTCAATGCCCGCAACCATTTGTCTGGTTTTCCTCCTCCTACTGTGGCTGAGCCGTGCGACCCCAAACCAGGAGACAGGTGAGGAGCCAGGCTGGCAGCTCAAAGGGACCTGGACTCTAGTCTCTTTCATTCATTCATTCATTCATTCATTCATTCAATCATTTTTGTTCCAGGCATGATTCACCTTCTAAGGGCTAATGCTCACTAATTCGTTAATTAAAGAATTCATTTACTCAGCACTTACTTGTGCTTAATGTGGCTTCTCTGCGTACCCATCCATCTTCATGTTGGTAAGATCTCCTTGCGTGATTAGCTTGGGAGGGTCTTTTTTGGTTGGGGACCCCAGAGGAATGTCCAAAGGAGGCTCCTGTGGGTAGAGGAGGCATGGGGCTCTAGAGTGCGCACTGTGGGAGGTAGGAGGGAAGGTGGGGTGACAAAGCCTAGATCCAGGTTAATAGGCAGACTCAAGGGGCAACTGCCAGGCACCCACTGATTTGGTTTGCTAAAATACCCCAGGAAATGTAGTGGGATGATAAAGTTGCCTTTTGTGAGAAAGTTAAATGCCATTGGTAGGAATACTTTTGTGGGAATGGGAGCCTCAAGGGCATACACATGCTTATGCATGCTTGATTTCTGCTTGATTTCTGTTCTGATTTAATAACACTTATGTTATTAAATGGCTTTGTGTAAAGCACTTCTGGGGAAGGGCAGGACTTCAGTTTTGCTGAGTGGGATCTGCAGTTGTGGGGCTAGAGCAGGATCAGCGGGAACTGCCAAGGGAGGAAGAGGCTGCCCAGGTCCCCTTTCCACACCCTTCCTCAGCACGTTCGCCTTCTTCTCTATAAAATTGTCAAATATGTTTCAGGAGTGTTTCTCTGGAGGGGCACAAACTATCGGCAGGTTCTATTTTTCACCCCCTCCTTTCTGGGCCCCAGAGCTTGTCACTTTTACTAGCCTCTAGGTCTGAAGCCACCAGGATGGTCACAGAGTCACCTGAGCTATTGCCTCCTCACTAGGAAGCAGTTTCCTGATGGGCCCACTGCTTCTCCACCAAATCCCGTGGCTCTCTCCTCTTACCTGTGGTACAGCACTAGTCGTACAGCATGGCGATGTTCTGGTTACTCGTAGTTTGATGACACTTCACTATACTGAGCTCCTGGAAGGAGCTTTTTTGCAGGGTCTGGTGGGGCAGGGCACTAGAATATATGTCCATGATCCACCATGGTACCTGGCTCAGAGAGTCACTCAATAGTATAAAATGAGGGGCGCCTGGGTGGATCAATTGGTTAACTGTCCAGGTCTTGATTTCTGCTCAGGTCATGATCTCATGGTTCATGAGTTCAAGCCCCACATAGGGCTCTATGCTGACTGTGGGGAGCATGCTTGGGATTCTCTCTCTCCCTCTCTCTCTGCCCCTCCTCTGCTCGTTCTCTCTCTCTCTCAAAAAAGAAAACTTAAAAAAAAAGACTAAAATGAGTGAATGAATGAATGAATGAATGAATGATTGGGTGCTTAGTCACTTATGCTGTCATTTTTATGACAGAACCAGTCAGCACTGTTAGAAACTATATCTCTCTCCTGACCTTGGACACTGTGGGAACTCAAATGTGAACTCAAATTCAATTCAGATATATAGTTTTTAATTTTTTAAATGTTTATTTATTTTTGAGAGAGAGAAAGACAGAGTGTGAGTGGGGCAGGGTCAGAGAGAAAGGGAAACACAGAATCAGAAGCAGGCTCCAGGCTCTGAGGTGTCTGCATAGAGCCCAGTGTGGAGCTTGAACTCAAAGACTGGAAGATCATGACCTGAGCTGAAGTAGAACGCTTAGCTGACTGAGCTACCCAGGTGCCCCTCAGTTCAGATATTTTAAGTTAAATTGAATAAAAAATATTTTACACCAGAACTACAGTGATGCATTTCCTACCTTGGATGAGCTGGTAGGGAAGACAGATACGTACCTCCAGAAAGAAGGCTGTAATAACAGACAGGGACTAATGCTATGTTAGAAGCTAAAATCAATAGGTTTTAAGGGTAAAAAGAAAAAGTTAATCCCAATAAATATAGTTAATCCCTTCTATCCCCAGGTGTGGGGGGGGGTGTTGGAAAGCTTTCAGAATAGGTCAAATTTATTATTAATTTTTTTTTCTTACGGACATTTTCTAATGTTTTTTAATGTTTATTTTTGAGAGGGAGGCAGAGTGCAAGCAGGGAGGGGCAGAGAGCAAGGGAGACACAGAATCCAAAGCTGGCTCCAGGCTCTGCGCTGACAGCTCAGAGCCCAACATGGGGCTCAAACTCATGAACTGTGAGATCATGACTTGAAGCAAAGTCAGATGCTTAATCCACTGAGCCACCTACACACCCCTCTTATGGAAATTTTCAAACACGCACAAAAAGAGACTAGTATAATGAACCCAATGTTCTTACTGGCTAATTTAAAAATTATCAACATTTTGCCCAAATTCTTATCCAGCATATTAAAAAATATAACCATAATACCTTATGAAAGATGAAATGATTAAAATAATTACTACCATTAAAATTTTTTTAACGTTTATTTATTTTTGAGAGAGAGAGAGAGACAGAGCATGAGTGTGGGAGGGGTAGAGAGAGAAGGAGACACAGACTCTGAAGCAGGCTCCAGGCTCTGAGCTGTCAGCATAGAGCCTGACACAGGGCTCAAACCCACAGACTGCAAGATCATGACCTGAGCTGAAGTCACTCACTCAAACGACTGAGCCACCCAGGTGCCCCTGCTTATTACTATTTACTACCTATTCATATTTCTCCAACTCTCAAAAGGACTTTTTTGCAATTGGCTTATTTAATCAGGACTCAAACAAGGTCCACACATTACATTTAACTGGTATATATATATATATATATATTTTTTTTTTTTTTAACTGGTATATTTCTTAAGCCTCTTCAAATCTATCAGTCCCCTTTTCCTTTTTTCATGCTGTTTTTAATTGAAGAAACCAGGTCATTTGTTCTGTAGAAAATTCTACATTCTGGATTTATCTGATTGATTCTATGTGGATGTCTCTCTGTCCCCTGCATTTCCCAAAACCTGGTAATTAAGGTTCATTTCTTTTGGCAAGAATATACCATAGGTCAGGCTGTATACTTGCGATTGCATCTTGAAAGAGACACACAAAGTCTAGTGGTCCCACTTTCTGTGTTAAATAAACTTGATCACCAAATGCATCTGTTGTAGGTCCATTATAAACATTCCCCCTCAGCCTTTCTCTAATGGTTTTAATCCCCAGGGATGATCGTTGCATAGATCCATTTTTTTCACTAGGGGTTGCCAAACGCTGGCTTTCCGATTCTATCGCTCCTTCCACATTTATTAGCTGTGGCTCTTCTATACAGACTTTTCCCTTGTCATTTACTTGGTTTGTATGGAAAGACTGGATAAATGTTTAATTCTTCATTTGTCATTTTCAGAATAATGAGTTTGTTCCTTAGCAACCCAGGAAAGATTGAATTTAAACATGACCTTGAAGAATAAGAATGTGTTTTTAGTGGCTATGAGAGGGAAGGGCCTTTCACATGGAGGAAATGGCTTGAGCAAAGGCTGCAAAGCAAGAGTATTCAGGGTGTTTAGGGAATGGCGAGATTAGTAGCAAGTGCAATAAGAGGCTTTTTGAATGAGAAGCATGGTGTGGTGGAAAAAGCAGGGAAGAAGTCAGGATTGCTGGTTAAGTGTGATCTTCAGAAAATGGCTTTTCCATTGCTAGATCAGGGGCTTTCAAACTTTTCTGGCCACAATCCACATTAATAAATATATTTTACACTGTGATTCAGTACATACATATAGGCATATAAAAACAAAAATTTCAAAAAGAACCCCAAACGACTTACCCTCACATATACAACGTATGCTCTGCCCTACTCTGCTGTGCTATCCCAACCCATTTCATTCCTTTCCATCTTATTAAAATAAATGCTGGTCATGGGGCATCTGGGTGGCTCAGTTGGTTAAGCATCTGACTTCGATTCAGGTCATGATCTCACCATTGGTGAGTTCAAACCCCACGTCACACTCTCTGCTGTCAGCACAGAACCCACTCTGGATCCTCTGTCTCCCTCTCTCTCTGCCCCAGCCCTGCTTGTACGCACTCTCTTTCTCTTTCTCTCTCAAATTAAATAAATAAACTTAAAAAAAAAATACTGGTCATGATCACCGAAATGATCTCTGACTCATGAATGGGCTACAGCACTTGTTCGGATGGTCTCTGGGGCTCTTTTCCACCTCCAGCCCTCTTTGATCCATCCTCGGTATTGGTGACAACCTGACACTGAACTAGGCACTTGGGAAGAGGGATGACGTGAGAAGGGGAACTACTCATTTGTAGGAGGCTCCTAACTTAACATGAGACAGAAGCAAGGCCAAACTCGAAGGCCACCATCACCTTGAGAGGTCTGACCTTCCAGGCCACTGCTCCCCTTTCATCAGACGCCTGCTGGCCCCTGTTTCCATAACAGGCTGGGCTAGCCACACCTAACCCTGCACCCTCTCAGCGGCCTGCTCGCTGTTGATCTCATCAACGTTGGAAGGCCCTCAAGCTTATCCCTAAACAAAGCCCCAGGCAGGTGCTAACCTAACAGGAATTGATTTGGTAGGTCAAGAACAGCATTGAGAGTCCTGGGTGTGAGAACACCTGGGGCTCATTCCCACCGGGGCCACTGACTCACCAGATGACCTGGGTCACATACCTACCTGCCAATGCCTTGTTTCCCCTGCCCTTAAAGAAGATGAAACCCCTCACTTGGTAGTGGATATGCACTGGTCAGATATAATTGAATTGGGCAGCTTGGGAAAATGATCAAAATTAGGGTTGATGAAACTGTTTTGTGAAGAGGGACCATGGAGACCTTCCTCTAACTTTGCGGGGATTTTATCAATCCTTCTTGTCACACTTCAGTCTGTTGTTTTCTCTCTTGCTTCTCTGTCTTCCTTGCTGTCACATCCCGGCCACCCTCCTCTTTTCTCTCATTCTTCTCTTTCTCTCAGCTCTGTCTCATTCTTGTGTCTCTGTTTTTAATAATAGCTTTCCTGAGATATAATTCATAGAACATAAAATTCATCCTTTGAAAGTGTACAGTTCAGGGGCGCCTGCATGGCTTAGTCGGTTAAGCGTCTGACTTTCACTTAGGTCATGATCTCACGGTTCGTGGGTTCGAGTCCCGCGTCGGGCTCTGTGTTGACAGCCAGCTCAGAGCCTGGAGCCAATTTCAGAGTCTGTATCTCCCTCTCTCTCTGACCCTCCCCTGCTCACGCTGTCTCTCTCTCTCTCCTAGAAATAAAATAAATAAATAAATAAATAAATAAATAAATAAAGTGTACAGTTCAGTGGGTTTTAGTATGTTCACAGAGTCGTGCAAACCACACCACTGTCTAATTTCAGAACATTTCTTCCTTACCAAAGGAGATCCTGTACCCCTAGCAGTCACTCCCTGGTCCCCATACTTCCCAGCCCCCCGACAACCATTAATCTACTTGCTGTCTCTATGGACTTCTGTATTATAGGCATTCACTTAAAAGGAGTCTTACAACATATGGCCTTTTGTGGCTGACTGCTTTCACTTAGCATCATGTTTCAGGGTCCATCCACCTTGTAGCATGTGTCAGAACTTCATCCCTTTTTAGGGCTGAATAATACTCCATTGTGTGGGTATCCCATATTTTGTTTTATCCATTCATCAGTTGATGGACACTTGAAATGTTTCCACATTTGGGTTCTTATGAATAATTCTCCCATGGACATACATGTACGGGTTTTTATGTGAGCATGTATTTTCAGCTCTTGTAAGTATATACCCAGAAGTGGGATTGCGGCATTGTATGGTTTTCACTCCAAATTAAACATTTTGAGGAACTGCCAAACTGTTTTTCTCTGTTTTTCAGAGCGGCTGCACCATTTTTCAATTCCACAACAGTGGATGGGGTTCCAATTTCTCCACATTCTCAGCAACACCTGTTTCCGAACGGGTGTGAAGTAGTGTCTCCTTGTGGTTCTGGATTTCCTCTCCTTGATAACAAACGTTGTTGAGCAGCCCTTCATGTGCTTTTTGCCCACTGGTATATCTTCTTTGGATCTATTCTATGCCCATTTAAAAATTGGGTTATTTGCCCTTTTTTGTTATTGTCAAGCTGTAGGAATTCTTTACATATTCTGGATAAAATTCTCTCATCACATGTATGATTTGCAGATATTTTCTCCCATTCTGTGGGCTGTCTCTTCACTTTCTTGATACTATCTGTAGAAGCACAAAACTTTAAAATTTCTATCAAGTCCAGTGTATGTTTCCTTTTGTTGCTTGTGCTTTTGGTGTCATATCTGGGAAACTATTGCTTAGTCCAAGGCCATGATCATCTAAGAGTTTTGTAGTTTTGACTCTTACATTCAGGCCTGTGATCCATTTGAAGTTAATTTTTATGTATGGTGTGAGGTAGAGGTTCAGATCCATTCCTTTGTGCATGGATATCCAGTTGTCCCAGCATCATTTGTTACAACAGTCTCTTTTTATGTACGTATTTATTTAAAAAATGTTTTTAAGTTTATTTTTGAGAGAGACAGAGCATGAGATTGGGAGGGGCAGAGAGAGAGAGAGGGAGGCATAGACTCTGAAACAGGCTCCAGGCTCTGAGTGGTTAGCACAGAGCCCAATGTGGGGCTGGAATGGAGAGATCATGACCTGAGCTGAAGTCGGAGGCTGACCTGACTGAGCCACCCAGGCGCCCCATAACTGTCTCTTTTTAATGTCCCCTTTTTCTGCAGGCAGCTACTCCCAACCCCAGTCCCTCTGCTGCCTTGGAATAGATCATCACTGCAAGAGAGGAAGCTGCTACTGTGATGAATTCTGCCACGTGGTATTAGACTGCTACCCAGACCACTACGCCCTGTGCAACCCCGGTAACTCACACACAGGCTCCTTCCTAACCCCCCAGCGGAGCTGGATGCTGTGACAGAGAGAGGCAAGCTCCTTGCATGTACCTCAGGCCAAGGCCAGGATGCAGACTGAATGGCTCCTGAGGTCCTTGATAATCCTGAGATCCTCACCTTTGGTCCACTTCATATAAAAAGTGCCCACATGTTCCTCCCAGCTTTGTTTCCCCACTGCTCTCGACCACCTGCTGCTCCCCTCTGAGCTCCTTTCTCAGATCCACACGCAGAGAGGCTAAGCTGTTGGTGGTTGGGGATCAGCGTGGGGAGTGAGATGATTGGGTCACCTAACTGCCCCTGCATCTCTAGCAATGTAGATGTCTCTTGACCTGATCCACGTAGACTTTTGAGGGAAGACAGGCATCTGCAGAGAGGTGCCGGGGATGCTACATAGGAGGAGGGGGCCTAGGAGTCTGGGAGGAGGCCGGGAACTTTCACCTTGTGTTTCTCAGCTTCTCAGAATACCAAGATGGTGCTGCGGATGGTGCTGAGGATGGAGAACCCCCCCCCCGAGACCTGCAAGAAGCAATCTAGACTGGATGCAGCGCCTGGTGAGTGCCCTGGCGGTTCTCCCAGAATGGGGTGCTGACAACCTGCTTCTGCCTCCCTGGCCTGTAGGCCCCAAGGTCGGGGAACAGTTACCAAGGGGGAAAAGAGACCTGAGCTGGGGCAGAGCTCCATGGTTTTAGGGCTAGGAGCAGTGGTATCTGACCATGGACCTGACACTTGAATTTCATATCATTTTCATGTGTCATGAAATATTCTTTTGACTTTTTTCAGCCACTTAAAAATATAAAAAACATGCTTAACTTGTCATCTGTACACACACACACACACACACACACACACACAAATCTGCAGCAAGTGAGACTTGGCTTACAGACTGTGATTGGCTGCTTTCTGCCCTAAATCATCCTTCATTTTTTATTTTTCATCTGTGTCGTGGCTTCAGCCCTGACCTGTCCAGAGCTCTCTGCCGAGCACTGGAGCAGAGGCCTCAGCCCCCACTCTAGCATATTATGAGCATTGGGCAGAAAGGAAGGCAGCATGGTACAAGGAAAAAGCATAGACTCGGGAGCCAGACAGACCTGGGTTCAAATCCTGTCTCTACCACTTATTACCTGGGTGACCTGAAGTGCCTCCTTCTGCCTTTCTGAGTTTCCCTTTCCTCATCTGTGTCCCAGAGCTTGCCCTGTAGAGCTGTTGCAAAAGGGCCTTGGTAGATGTGCAATGAGGCATAGCTATTATCTGGGGACATGCAAATAAGCTGGCCTTTACTTCCTGCTCACTTAGGTCCAGCAGCTTCTCCACACCAGCCTCCCAGGGAGGCCCCTCTCCATCTCTGTGAAGGAAATCAAGAAGAGAGCCTGACACCTCCCGTGAAGCTTCTTCCGGGCCCTGTGACGCAGAGCCCACCCTGCCCCCCACCCCTGGGCCTGCTGGGCCTTACCACCAGTCCCAATGTGCTTGTCTCTTCGTTTCTATCCTGCATGCTTCTGCATCGGCTCAACCAGAGGAAAATGGAAATCTGCGATAGTCGTTAACACACTTAAATCAGCCATACACGCCGGTGTTGAGCATTTGACTTCAGCTCAGGTCATGATCTCGTGGTTCGCAAGTTTGAGCTCCACGTTGGGCTCAGAGCTCACAGCCCAGAGCCTGGAGCCTGCTTCAGATTCTGTGTCTCCCTCTCTCTGCCCCTCCTCTACTCTCTCTCTCTCTCAAAATAAATGAACATTTAAAAACTTAAATCAGCTATACAGATTATAAAACATAAATTTGGCTCATCGTACTCATTGTTTGTGGTGGTTATAATGAATATAGCAAACATTTCTTGAAAGTGGAAGGTGAGAACCTAGCACGTCTGGCCAAGTGATCTGTGCTTCCTTCCTCAAAATTCCTTCCCAGGCATCATGTGGCCACCTCTAAGTTCCACAATAGCCTGGTCTGAGCCTTGTAGCCTCATGCTCACCAGTCTTCTTCCCAGAGTAAAAAGAGAGGCAGGGGGACTTTCCTCTGGTGGGTTGGGACAGGGCTCCTGGGAGTTTCCTTGTGTGAGGATTTCAAAGCTCCAGGACACTGATCCCAGGGGTCTTTGGGGTCTACTGAGCCCATTGCCTTCCCCTCAGGTTCCCTACCCTTCAGCTTCCTGCACTCCAGGCCTTAGGGTCTTTTTTTTTTTTTCAATGTTTTATTTATTTCTAGGAGAGAGAGAGAGAGAGAGAGAGACAGCGTGAGCAGGGGAGGGTCAGAGAGAGAGGGAGTCACAGACTGAAACAGGCTCCAGGCTCTGAGCTGGCAGTCAGCACAGAGCCCGACGCGGGGCTCGAACCCACGAACTGCGAGATCATGACCTAAGCGAAAGTCGGACGCTTAACCGACTAAGCCACCCAGGCGCCCCATTAGGGTCTTTTTTTTACTTCTCTTTGACCGTGGCCTTTCTCTGTAGTTCTACTTCACAACACGGTTCACATCTGCTCCTCCTATAGTTCCATTGCCAAAGTCCCAGGTCACAGCGTCCTAACTGGTCCTCTTGCCCCTGGATCTCCCCTAACTGGTCTCTGTTCACAGTTTCCTGCCCACAGCAGAGCTCTGGTGTTGCCAGTTCCTTACTCAGAAACCATCACTGGCTTCCCATTGTCTCCAGAACAAAAGCTAACCTCCCACACTTGGCTGCAAAGTCTTCCACATATTGGGCCCAAGGCCCATTTCTGGCCTTATCTCCTGTAAGGCCCCTTCCCCACACCTATGTTCCACCTAAATAAAATGGCCCATTATCCATGTCCATGCTTCCCTCCAGGCTTTGACTCATCTGAACACTGGTTTCTTAGTAATAAATGATTATAGCAAAGGAGGTCCTGTCAGAGTCCACTTATTGGCCAATGGTTCTATTTTAGCTTAGTTTCTCTGAATAACTTATTTGGGAACAAAATTCCAAGGAGCAGAGGTGAGGGAAAAGTGAAGTGATACAGAGAAGAAGGGAGAGTGAATACAAAGATGCATTATCCAGTTGTCCCCACTATGGCTCATTTGTTGCTTGATCCTGTGGGACCTTTTAAAAAGCCTTACGAAATGTTTCAGAGAACCATCTGTCCTGGGGATGGAATAGGAAGCATCTATCCATTGCCTCTCATTCTCGGGGTTTATAGGTTGTTCCACTTAGGCACTAACATTCTCAGTTCTTTGTTGCTCATATGTGAAAGCAGGGCAGCTCTTGGAAGCATCCCAAGCCTTGGCATCAGGGAAACCCTGGGAGAGAGCAAATGGAACGTGGCAAGGCATTGCTTCATCACTCCTGGAAAACTAGTCATCGCAGCAGTGGCTGGAGTAGGAAGCAAGGCCAAAAGGACTTGAATGGTGCACAAAAGATGTTCCACCTACTGGCTTTCGGGAACACATGCTTTATCCCTCCAGCTCTTCCAGCCACAGATTTCTTCTCCTGCCTAGGAATGGAGGAGCCCAGGCGAAGAGACAGTCCTGGGCCCTGTTTGGAAGAACTCTCCTCATACATCCAGAACCTAGGATTTCTCTCCCTTCCTTGCTAAGGAGTGCTTTTCCAGTGAGGCTCTGTGGGATGTGGCCTCTCCAGTTGGGATCATCCTGTGGGCCTCATAGAAAGCCCCAAGATGCTGATTTATGGGCTCTTTTCCCTCTCTTCTCTCAGTGATTATTTTCTTCCAAATGTCCAGAAACCCCATCTCTTGTTATTGCTCCTATATCATCCTTTTTTTCCCCAGCTAGATTACCTAGATTTAGGTTTACCCAAACTGAAGAGACAGTTTCTGAGATGTTCCAATACCGGTACAGCTTCCTCTAGTTGAGTGTGAACGTGTGTGCATATGTGCATGCATATTTCATTTTTATCTGGCCTTCCATCTTCCCTCCCTGTCTTCCAAATACCTTCCCGATGAAAGTCATTTCCCTGGCAGCAGCATACTATTGGGGAAAAGCCCTGGGGAAACAGAAGCTCTACATTACAAGCTCTGCCTTGTAATTCAAGTTGAAATTACAGAAATAAATTCATATTCATAAGAATATCTAAAATTACAAGGCCTGATGATAGCAAGTGTTGATGAGAATGTGGAGCAACTGGAACTCTCATATGTTGCTGGTGTAGCCCTAGTTGTCACAATCAATTTGGAAAACTGTTGGATACTATATACTAAAGCGAAACACATGTAGGTCCAATGGCCCAGCAATTCCACTCCTAGATATATATATATATTTGTATATATATATATATATTTGTATATATATATATATTTGTGTATATATATATATATATATATATATATACAAATGCAAATGCAAGACTGTTCATAGAAGCTTTATTCGGAATAGTGAAAAACTGGAAGCAATCCAAATGTCCATCAATAGGAAAATGGGTAAATTGTGATATATTTTATACAATGGAATACTATCTAGCAACAAAAAAGAATGAAGTACTGTTGCACAAAACATGAGTGAATTTCACAGGCATAATGTTTAGAGAAGGAAGCCATGAATGAGTGTATATTCATAATTCCATTTGCATGAAGTTCAAAAATAGGCAAAACTAATCTATGGTGATAGAGGTAAGAATGATTTGCGGTGGGGGGAAGATAGTGACTGGAAAGGAACACAAGGGAGCTCAATGCGATGCTGAAAGTGTCTTCTATCTGAGTGGTGGATACCTCCTGGGTGTATACAAATGTAAAAATTCATCAAGTTGTATGCTACTTAGGATTGATGTACTTTACTGTATGTGGGTTATACCCTAACAAAGAGATGAATGAACAAGTGGTCAAAGGGCTCTCTGGAGTCTCCTATACTATAGCCCAAAAATAGGGGTTAGGGTGGGGAGGGCCCATTCTCAGGTCCTTGCAAATTTAGATGATTCTCACCGCCTCTTCTGTGGTAGAGAAGGACAGGATCTCATCTAAACAATCTGTGCATACTCAACATTTTGAACTTGTAGGGACACACTTGGACCCCCAGAGTTGCTATAGAGATATTATAAAGTAGAAACACTAGAGCTATAGCAGGTGTAGAAAGAAATGATATCTGATCTTCCCTTAAGTGACTAAAGCAGAGCTTTGCAAAAATACAGCTGCTATTAGTCTCCCTCTGAGTGACTTTCCAGCCAATCCTGCTGTCATAGACACAGACTGCCTAATAGAACTTTCCATACCCATGGAAGCTCTAAATCCTCCACCTCCTCCACTCCCACTCCTTCATTATGTTTGGTATAAAAACCTTGATCTATGGTTATTCAGTGAGTTACTCAATACTGAGCAACTTCCTGGTGCCTCTGTTAATAAACTTGGTCTTTTCACCTGTTCATCTGTCTGTTCTCAATTAATTTGCAGACGCTCAACTACAAGACCCAAGTTGTAGGAGAAAAAAGCTTTTTCCTCCCAACAAACCCAGAACAACTTAACTATGGCTTGGAGTTGGGCTATATCTCAGTGGTCTAGCAGATTTATAACCTTGTATTTCAACGACATTTGACCAACCTGACTCTTTTATCAGACTCTTGGCAGTTCAGTCCTTTGGGCTTTACTTGATAACC